GCTTCCGTCTAGCCACTCTACCATAAAGGCCTGATTGGTGGCGTGCTGCAGGGATGGTTGTCCTTCTTGAACGTTCTCCCATCTCAACAGAGGAACTCTGGAGCTCTGTCAGAGTGACCATCGGGTTCTTGGTCACCTCCCTGACTAAGGCCCTTCTCCCCCAATTGCTCAGTTTGGCTGGGCAGCCAGCTTTAGGAAGAGTCTTGGTGGTTCCAAACTTCTTCCATTTAAGAATGATGGAGGCCACTGTGTTCTTGGGGACCTTCAATGCTGCAGAAATGTTTTGGTACCATTCCCCAGATATGTGCCTCGACACAACCCTGTCTTGGAGCTCTACGGACAATTTCTTCGACCTCATGGCTTGGTTTTTGCTCTGACATGCACTGTCAACTGTGGGACCTTTATCTAGACAGGTGTGTGCCTTTCTAAATCATGTCCAATCAATTGAATTTACCACTAGTGGACTCTAATCAAGTCGTAGAAACATCTCAAGGATGATCAATGGAAACAGGATGCACCTGAGCGCAATTTAGAGTCTAATAGCAAAGGGTCTGAATACTTATGTAAATAAGGTATTTCTGTTTTTTATTTTTAATACATTTGCAAAAATGTCTAAACTTGTTTTCGCTTTGTCATTATGTAGTATTGTGTGTAGATTGATGAGGATTTTTAACAATGTACAGTGGGGAAAAAAAGTATTTAGTCAGCCACCAATTGTGCAAGTTCTCCCACTTAAAAAGATAAGAGAGGCCTGTAATTTTCATCATAGGTACACGTCAACTATGACAGACAAATTGAGAAAGAAAAATCCAGAAAATCCTATTGTAGGATTTTTAATGAATTTATTTGCAAATTATGGTGGAAAATAAGTATTTGGTCACCTACAAACAAGCAAGATTTCTGGCTCTTACAGACCTGTAACTTCTTCTTTAAGAGGCTCCTCTGTCCTCCACTCGTTACCTGTATTAATGGCACCTGTTTGAACTTGTTATCAGTATAAAAGACACCTGTCCACAACCTCAAACAGTCACACTCCAAACTTCACAATGGCCAAGACCAAAGAGCTGTCAAAGGACACCAAAAACAAAATTGTAGACCTGCACCAGGCTGGGAAGACTGAATCTGCAATAGGTAAGCAGCTTGGTTTGAAGAAATCAACTGTGGGAGCAATTATTAGGAAATGGAAGACATACAAGACCACTGATAATCTCCCTCGATCTGGGGCTCCACGCAAGATCTCACCCTGTGGGGTCAAAATGATCACAAGAACGGTGAGCAAAAATCCCAGAACCACACGGGGGGACCTAGTGAATGACCTGCAGAGAGCTGGGACCAAAGTAACAAAGCCAACCATCAGTAACACACTACGCCGCCAGGGACTCAAATCCTGCAGTGCGAGACGTGTCCCCCTGCTTAAGCCAGTACATGTCCAGGCCCGTCTGAAGTGCATTTGGATGATCCAGAAGAGGATTGGGAGAATGTCATATGGTCAGATGAAACCAAAATAGAACTTTTTGGTAAAAACTCAACTCGTCATGTTTGGAGGACAAAGAATGCTGAGTTGCATCCAAAGAACACCATACCTACTGTGAAGCATGGGGTTGGAAACATCATGCTTTGGGGCTGTTTTTCTGCAAAGGGACCAGGACGACTGATCCGTGTAAAGGAAAGAATGAATGGGGCCATGTATCGTGAGATTTTGAGTGAAACCCTCCTTCCATCAGCAAGGGCATTGAAGATGAAACGTGGCTGGGTCTTTCAGCATGACAATGATCCCAAACACAACCGCCCGGGCAACGAAGGAGTGGCTTCGTAAGAAGCATTTCAAGGTCCTGGAGTGGCCTAGCCAGTCTCCAGATCTCAACCCCATAGAAAATATTTGGAGGGAGTTGAAAGTCTGTGTTGCCCAGCGACAGCCCCAAAACATCACTGCTCTAGAGGAGATCTGCATGGAGGAATGGGCCAAAATACCAGCAACAGTGTGTGAAAACCTTGTGAAGACTTACAGAAAATGTTTGACCTGTGTCATTGCCAACAAAGGGTATATAACAAAGTATTGAGAAACGTTTGTTATTGACCAAATACTTATTTTCCACCATCATATGCCAATAAATTCATTAAAAATCCTACAATGTGATTTTCTGGATGTTTTTTTCTCATTTTGTCTGTCATAGTTGACGTGTACCTATGATGAAAATTACAGGCCTCTCTCATCTTTTTAAGTGGGAGAACTTGCACAATTGGTGGCTGACTAAATACTTTTTTTCCCCACTGTAATCCATTTTAGAATAAGGCTATAACGTAACAAAATGTGGAAAAGGGGAAGGGGGCTGAATACTTTCCGACTGCACTGTACATTCATAATAGACAGGAGGAGACACTACTTAAAGTCTCAGGGGGGGATGACATCACAGTGACTACTAGAACTCCGCTGCAACTCACCTCTGCTACAGTCACACCCCTTTCACCACCTCCTACGCCACCAACAGTGTTACTCAGCCGCTGACTGTTTAATCTGAGTCAATGTAGCAGAGTTATATACCCACAAAATGTATTCTGCAGGTGCTAGATTGACTCAGTTCACACAGTCTGCTCTGCTGGCTGCTCAGGTTGATGTGGAGAAGGAGGTCAATGAGTGTAGCAGAGGGTTGAGTGTGTAGCACGTGAGCTAGTTGACAGGTGAGTGCTAGGCTCTTTCTCAATTCATCCTTCCTCGTTTCCTCTCCTCACCTCCTTCTAAAAACTCAAAAGAGAAGGGTCAGAGGGGTTAAATTTAGATTTTGTCACTGGCCTACACACAATACCCCATAATGTCAAAGTGGAATTATTTGTTATTAATTTTGCAACATTTAGAAAAACATAAGTATTCAACCCCTTTGTTATGGTTTAACAAGTCACATAAGTTGCATGTAGGCTTGGGCAGTATACATTATACCGGGGTATTTGGAAAAAGCCACGTGACGGTTTTTCAATACCATCAATACCGTTATAACTATTTCTTTGAAGTTTTTTAATAATTTTTAATATTTGTTTTGTGCATGCAGCAAACTGTGAGCAGCATTTTTGAGTTACTTGTATACTTGTGTAGTTTAGGTCAGAAACTATTTGAAAAATTCGCAACGCGCGCGTTAGCATTTAGTTTCCATTCTCTATTGAATTGTACATGTATTTGTTAGCATTGCTAACCTTCAGATTACAGAGTATCATTGGGGTTTGAAAAAAGCGCCCCTTGTGTTCAGTGCCGGTATTACCAAATATCCCGGTATGGCACAAGGTTGGTATGAAAGTATCACAATCTGGATACTGCCCAAGCCTAGTTGCATGGACTCACTCTGTGTGCAATAATGGTGTTTAACAGGATTTTTGAATGACTACCTCATCTCTGTACCCCACACATACAATTATCTGTAAGGTCCCTGAGTAAAGCAGTGAATTTCAAACACAGATTCAACCACAAAGACCAGCAAGGTTTTCCAATGCCTCGAAAAGATGGATAAAAATTTAAAAGCAGACATTGAATATCCCTTTGAACATGGTAAAGTTATTAATTACACTGTAGATGGTGTATCAATACAGCCAGTCACTACAAAGATACAGGCATCCTTCCTAACTCAGTTGCCAGAGAGGAAGGAAACTGCTCAGGGATTTCACCATGAGGCCAATGGTGACTTTAACAGTTACAGAGTTTAATGGCTATGATAGGAGAAAACTGATTCTAGTTACTCCACAATACTTACCTAATTGACAGAGTGAAACGACTGAAGCCTGTACAGAATAAAAATATTCTGATACATGCATCCTGTTTGCAACAAGGCACTAAAGTAATACTGCAAAAAATGTGGCAAAGCTATAACTTTTTGTCCTGAATACAAAGTGTTATGTTTGGGGCACATCCAATACAACAAATTACTGAGTACCACTCTCCATATTTTTAAACATAGTGGTGACTGCATCATGTTATGTGTATGCTTGTAAACTGGGGAGTTTTTCAGGATAAAAAAGAAACAGAATGGAGCTCAGCACAGGCAAAATCCTAGAGGAAAACCTGGTTGTCTGCTTTCTACCAGACACTGGGAGATGAGTTCACATTTCAGCAGGACAATAACCTAAAACACAAGGCCAAATATACACTGAGTTGCTTACCAAGACAACATTGAATGTTCCTGAGTGGCCTAGTGACAGTCTTGACTTAAATCGGCTTAAAAATCTATGTCAAGACTTGAAAATGGCTTTCTAGCAATGATCAACCACAAACTTGACAGAGCTTTAAAAAAAGAATAATGTGCAAATATCCTGGTGTGCAAAGCGCTTAGAGACTTACCCAGAAAGACTCACAGCTGTAGTCGCTGCCAAATGTGATTCTAACATGTATTGACTCAGGGGTGTGAATACTTATGTAAATTCAATATTTCTGTATTTCATTATCAATAGATTTGCAGATATTTCTAAAAAAATGTTTTCACTTTGTCATTATGGGGTATTGTGTGTAAATATCTATTTAATCCATTTTGAATTCAGGCTGTAACACAACAACATTTGGAATAAGTCAAGGGGGATGAGTACTTTCTGCAAATCAAAGATTAATTGTCATTGGTCTTATAATCAGATTGTGAAGCCAAAAAGTCCATCCCACCTGAACAGGCCGAAATTCCAGGGATCTTTTTCAAATGGCTCTTAAGCAAAAAGGGCATTATCATTTGTACAATTTCAGTGTTATTTCGACCTTTTTTTAAATGGGAAAATCACATTTTAACGGCACTGGCCCTTTAAAAGCATGATGATAACATTTTGCCGATGGACACATGCACAGATAGCTATTTTTAAAAGATGACTTTTTCTTTCAAATATAATAATTCGATTTTTGTATGGTTATTTCTGTTCTAGTCGTCTAATTGCGTTGCACATCCACTCCCAACTATTAAGGTAAGTAGGCTTAACTGCAGCTGACAATGCCTTTATTGGATTTACCTAATGCCGCATTTATTCTGTCATTATTTTAGGCATTAGAGCAAGAGGCCTGTCTTGCAAGAACTTTTATTGCTTGCCAGTTGGTAGGCACAACCACAACCTCTCCCTTCCAGACACAATGGCGGACACTTCACAGCACTTCACAGGTATGTGCTTTCCACCATGACTCCACATCAAGGCTGGAACAACAGCAACTGTGCCTTCAATTATTGTTCTTTCAGTCTAGCCAAAGGGCATTTATGTAAGCTTGTTAGAGAATATTGTATTGTAATTGTTGATTCGCATCCTAGATATTGCCTTGTTCATAATAAACATCTACCAATGTATTTACGATACCCACTGAATTGCTGCAGTAGGCCTTAGCTTGTACTGTATAAGATGGCGTCATTATTGACATAGCTATCTTACAGTTTGGCAGCTATACACAAGAGGAGTAAGTTAGGACATGGCAGCATGGCCGTCATGATTCCAGACCACACTGGTCAATGTAGCTACACATCTAAGAATTGATTAGCCTATTAAAATATAGGTCCATAGTATTGCAGAGGTTCACCCTCGGGTCTGGTGGCTTAAGGTAAAAAAATATTATATATTTAAGATCGGGTCAGGCAGGTCAAATCTTGAGCGGAAAACAAAGCTTAGCCTTTTCTTCAATAAATCCCTCTTGTGAAATTATTATCCATATTCTGCAATTAATAAGCCTCCATTGCTCTTACAGTAGGCTATCCTGCAAAAGGTGAGCGTGTGGTACTTCATAGCATGCAGCCACTTACACAACATATTGGAGTGACACATTTGATTGTGGATGAAATCCCTGTTTTAGTCTGCTCAAAAAGTAATCTCTGGTGCGATGTATTCAGTTTGTCTGAACACGTCTTGTAGGGATTCGTGGTAGTATGGTAATGGTAAATCAACAAGCAAATAGCACTAGTAACGGATTCAGGACCATGGACAGCGTCGTTGCCGCCACTCCAGAAAATATGCTTATATATTTATGATTCTAAAAAATATATTTTAATTACTAAAACCAAATCAAAACTGTGTACGAATGATAATGGACATACATTTATAGTCTCTTCACTCTGTCCAGCTTCCTAACAGTCATCGAAATTGGAGAAGGAGAGCGGAGCAGCAGAGCATCATTTAAAAAAAAAAGTCAAGTGACCTTCTCACAGTCGTTCTACAAATAAAGTGTCCGATGGGGCATGCCCCCTACCTTTGACACCGCTGCTGAAAAAAATCCTAGGGGAAACACTGAAAGTGTGACACTTGTTGTTGGTCTGCCATTGCAATAAAAGGTTAAATAAAAATACAATAAAATTGCAAACCAATGCTGGATCGGAATGCACATTCAAAGAAATTGCATTTTGAATTAGCAAGTTAAGACGTGTGGGTGCCAGATTAATTATTTAAAATTGCTGGCGGTTGTGGGTTTGAAAACAGAAAAACCCATGCAACACTAGGCTGTGTCTGTAGTAGGCTACCTTTATTGCAGTTTCTTAGCGTGTGGCTCGATTTGGCTCAGCTTGGTTTGAGGAATGGTCCTAATGGCGCCATTATTTTGTACTACCAATGGGCATAGTAACATTCCAGCAGTTATTGAGTACAGTTACATGCACACAATAATACATTTATTGTGGATAGTCAGATTAATATAATAGTTTGATTTAAAACGTTTACATGCTTTGTAAGAAGGAACGATTTCCCTAATAATCCTGTTTACATGGACACATCTGAAATCAGGCTACCTGATGGCACTCTGATAAATGCAAATCGCCAATCAAAATAAACGTTCTACCACAGCGACCATGTTAGTTTTGGGAAGCATATTTGATTCTGAGTTATGACAAACACTGGGTGTACAAAACATTAGGAACACCTTCTCTTTCCATGACATAGACTGACCAGGTGAATCCAGGTGAAAGCTATGATCCCTTATTGATGTCATTTGTTAAATCCACTTCAATCAGTGTAGATGAAGGGGAGGAGACAGGTTAAAGAAGGATTTTTAAGTCTTGAGACAATTGAGACATGGATTGTGTATATGTGCCATTCAGAGGGTGAATGAGCAAGACAAAATATTGAAGTGCCTTTGAATGGGGTATGGTAGTAAATGCCAGGCACACAGGTTTGTGTCAAGAACTGCAACGCTGCTGGGTTTCTCACGCTCAACAGTTTCCCGAATTGAGGCTGTTCTGAGGGCAAAAGGGGGGGTGCAACTCAATATTAAGGTGTTCCTAATGTTAGGTATACTCAGTGTATAAAGTTTGTATGTGAAAACTACTTCTTAAGACGCATACGTTCAGTTGTTGCAAACTCACTTCACTCGCGCTAAAGAGGGAGGCTCGCTCGGCTGATGCTAGCACATGCAAAGATCAAACACACTACTGGAACGCTGATTAAGGTGTTTAGATGTCTTTAATAATTTGAAAGCTTTCTCAGAAAACCAGGTGTTTTAATTAGCGTATGCTTACTTCGATTTTGACCCTACACCGATTCAGATAAGCAGAGTAAGGTGTTTACATGACTATTGCGTAATCTGCCTACTGCCATAATCCGTTTAATATCTAATTATTACTGTGCATGTAAACATACTCTGAGTATGTTTACATGCACACCTGGTTTTCTGAGCAGTCTTTCGAATTATTAGGACATGTAAACAGCTTAATCGGCATTGTATTTGATCTGCACATGTGCCAGGACCGTATCGCAATCCTCCCTCTTATGTGAGTTCGGAAAAACTTAAAGTATGTATCTTAGAAATAGTTTTCACGGGGGGCGCTAGTGCGCATGCGTATGGAGTAAAACCGTTCCTTCAGATCTCCTCTCTGCGTATTTTGAACTCTTTTATTATTTCCAAAAAAAAGTATATACACATTGTTTAGTATATTCCCCACGCACTAACTAGCAGCGAAAAAGTGAAATATGGCGATGAAAACCAACAGAATTTGACAAAGGACCAGGCCCAAAAAGCAGCAGCCATTTGATTACAGCTAATCATGGCTACCCGGACTATTTGCATTGTCCCCCCACCCCACCCCCTCTTTTACGCTGCTGCTACTCTCTGTTTATTATCTATGCATAGTCACTTTAACTCTACCCACATGTACATATTACCTCGACTAACCTGTGCCCCCGCACATTGACTCTGTACCGGTACCCCCTGTATATAGCCTCCCTAATGTTATTTTATTTTACTGCTGCTCTTTAATTATTTGTAATTTTTTACTTATGTATTTTCTTTTTATTTAACACTTATTTTTCTTAAAATGGCATTGTTGGTTAAGGGTTTGTAAGTAAGTATTTCACTGTAAGGTCTACACCTGTTGTATTTGGCGCATGTGGCAAATAAAATATGATTTGATGACGACAACTCTCCAGAAACCCAGCAACAAGATTCTGCCACAGCAATGTGTCAACAAAATGAAAGAGGCTGTAATAAAAACTATCAACGATCGTTTTGTCAGGCTCTAAACAAAGTTTGAGTCTCTAAAGACAGCACAGGCTGAACTGAAGGGCCGCATGGACACAGCCGATGAGGCCCTGTCTGATCATGACACCCGGATCGGAGGCCTGGGAACTACCTGCGCGCAGCTTAAAAAGAAGAACGAGGCGCTCCAAGCCAAGGTTCTCGATTTAGAAGGCAGGAGTCGCAGGCTGAACATCAAACTTGTGGGAATTTTGGAAGACGAAAAACAAGGGAAACCCACAGAGTTCGTGTCCAAGCTCATTCCCAAGCTGCTGGGTGACGACGACTTCCCAAAGCCCCTCATCATTGACCGTGCACACCGCTCTCTACAGGCGAAGCCCTCACCAGGTGCCAAGCCGCGCACCATAATCGCAAGGGTACATCACTTTCAGGAAAAGGAGCTCATTCTACGACTTGGATGACAGCAAGCTATGGAATACAAGGATCATCACAACGGCATGACAAGAGTCTTCACCAAGCCCGAAGAGGCTGCAAGCTACGTATCAAAACTACAGCAAACCCCCTGAAAGGGTGTAATCACTCGCCACAAATTTCTGGGAAATTGACTGAGCAAAGTTGATTTTATGTTTGTTCATAAACGGTAACGTATTCATTTGTTTTCCAACAACCGCGGAGAGGGCTGTTAAGTCTGACTGTTGTTAGCTTGCTAGCATAGTATTGGGTCTGTTCTAGCCATCATGCCCAGCGGTCCCCAGTGCTTCATTTGGGGAAGCAGTGGGGAGGGTGGGTTTCTCTGGGGTCTGTTACTGTGTTCGGTTTTTGTTTTCTGCTGCCAGACAAGTTTTATTTAAATACGTACATGTTTAAGATGTTTTATTTGAAATGCTCTTGGATATAAATGTCAGGAAACGATCTTGGTAATCAGTCAGATGTTAAAGGTGTCACATTAGTCTCGTGGAATATGCACGTTCTCGGGCACGAGCGCAAAAGGGGTATGGTATTTAAGCACTTGAAATCACTTGGTGCTGACATAATATTCCTGCAAGAAACGCACATAAAAGCCACGGTGCAGGTGCATCTGAGATCCAACTGGATTTCTCAAGTTTACCAATCACCCTTCTCCTCCAAGGCTAGAGGTGTTGCTATTCTCTTTTGTAAAAACATCCCTTTTCAACTCTCATGAATGTCTACAGACCCACATGGTAGGTACATCATAGTATCAGGGAACATGAATTCTTTCCCTGTTACCCTGTTGAACGTCTATGGCCCAAACATTGACGACCCACATTTCTTTCCTAATGTTTTTGATTTACTCCCAGACCTTAGTACCACTAATCTAATAATCGGAGGCGATTTTATATTGTTACCTTGATCCGTATCTTGACAGACTGTCTACACATACTCCACCAAATATCACCTCTGTCCAGGTTCTAAATAATCTAATCAAATCCAGGAATGTAGTGGACATCTGGAGACTGCAACATCCCACAGACAAAGACTACTCATTTTACTCTCATGTTCACAAGTCTTATTCTAGAATCGACTACTTCCTAATAGATTCCAAATTGATACCCATTGTGGCCCTCAATCTTTCTTTACCAAAACAGAATTACAGTTGGTGTTTTAACCCCTCCTTGCTCACAGACCAAGCATTAATTTACTGCATGACAGCCAAGTTGAATGAGTTCCTCAAGACTGATGACACAGGAGTGGTATCTGATTCTACACTATGGGAAACTTTTTAAGTGGTTATGAGAGGTCATATTATTTCATGTGTCTGACACAAAAAAAGGGAATCACATGCGATTGGAGGAGACATTCAGAACTTCACTCTCTCAGGTTGACTACAACAATATTTTTAAATTAAAATACGAATACAATTCTATTCTTGGTTCTCAGGTCAGTAACCTCCTATTAAAGCTGAGACAAAAACAATTTGAACTAGGGGACAAACCAGGAAGGTTGCTGGCTAGACAACTAACGGGTGCACAGGCAAATAGAGCAATCCATAAAATCCAGTCTAAGGCGGGCACCTTGCTGAAAGATCCTAAAGAGATAAACAACTGCTTCAAAGAATTTGACTCAGTTATATTCTTCCAGATCCGATGCTTCTAGTTCTGATGAATCAGCCTTCTTTGTTTCCATCATCAGCCTGCCAAAACTTGATGATGGCGCCAAAAAAGAATTGAACTCAAATTTCACAACATAGGAAATAATCGAGGCAATGAAAGCTTTCCCACCTGCAGGCACTGATGGTTTTGGCTGTGAATTTGATAAAACATTCAGTGAAGCAAGCTCTCGCTCCCCTCTTACTCAGGATGATCACTGATTAAACAGAAAATAATATTTTGCCCAAATCATTGTATGAAGCCAATATTTGCCTTCTGTGAGAAAAAGGCAGAGAGGTAACAGACCCTGCAAATTATAGACAGCATTGCTTAATTTTGATACAAAAATGATCACCAAAGTGCTTGCTAATCCGGATCAGACAGGGTTTATCCCAGGCAGGTTCTCTTTTTCTAATGTGCGCAGGCTGCTTAACGTTCTATATGCAAATCATGGGAAAGGCTCCAAGGCGGCTATTATATCGCTAGATGCTCAAAAAGCGTTTGACCAAATAGAATGGTCATGCATGTTCGAAGCACTCACTTGGTTTGGATTTGGCGACTCATTTATCGCCTGGGTCAAAATGCTCTGCCTGCCCAACATCCTCTATTCTGACCAACAGCATTTCGTTATATGCAGACAATGTGCTTTTATACCTCTCGGACCCAGTAGCCTCTGTCCCTAACCTACTAGTCTTAAGCAATTCATTTGGCAAACTATCTGGTTATTCAATACATTGGGGAAAAAGTGATCTCTCATGTGTATCTCAGGTAATAGTATAGCAAGTGAGCTAGAGAGGATACCATTTAAAGTGGTGCATGACCACTTAACTTACCTGGGACTAAAAATACCTAGAAATCCAAAGCTCATCTTCAAGCTTAACTACAGTGAGCTGGTTGCAATGCTAAAACAAAACATAGAGAGCTGGAGAATATTGCCTCTTTCTATGATGGGGCGCATTAATGCCATAAAAATGGTTTATCTTCCCAGGTTCCTTTTATCTTTGCCAGAATCTTCCAAATTGTCTTACCTCATAATTTTTTTAAGACTTTGGACTCGACAATCTTGTCATTTGTCTGGGGTAACAAAAACCATCGTATTTGTAATGCCCACTTGCAAAAGCCCAAGGAAAGTGGCGGCTTAGGCCTACCCATCTTTAAGCATTATTACTGGGCTGCAAATGCCAGGTCATTAACGTACTGGCAACTGGGTTTAACTGATAAGTTGGACACTGTTGCCCCCCTGTGGCTAAATATGGAAGTCAAGTCTAACAAATTCCTCTCTTCAAGCCTTGCTTTTCTCCAAAGCAGAGTGCCCAAACAAACTCACAGGCAACAACTTTGATTTGAGAAATTCTTTAATAATTTTAAACCAGATTAAGCATGTTTAAGGTGCCTGATATCTCTGTATACACCACAATATGCTTTAATCATTATTTTGTTCCATCTCGGTCTGAAAAGGTGTTTGTTAAATGGAGGGAGAAGGGACTGGCTACAATTGAAGACTTATACAATTAGCATCATTCATCCAATTAAAGAATTGGTCAGAATTGAAGGAATGATGGATGGCGCTAAATACAGGGAAATTCTTGATGGAAACCTGTTTCAGTCTTCCAGAGATTTGAGACTGGGACGGAGGTTCACCTTCCAGCAGGACAATGACCCTAGGCATACTGCTAAAGCAACACTTGAGTGGTTTAAGGGGAAACATTTAAATGTTTTGGAATGGCCTAGTCAAAGCCCAGACCTCAATCCAATTGAGAATCTGTGGTATGACTTAAAGATTGCTGTACACCAGCGGAACCCATCCAACTTGAAGGAGCTGGAGCAGTTTTGCCTTGAAGAATGGGAAAAAATCCCAGTGGCTAGATGTGCCAAGCTTATAGAGACATACCCCAAGAGACTTGCAGCTGTAATTGCTGCAAAAGATGGCTCTACAAAGTATTGACTTTGGGGGGGTGAATAGTTATGCAAGCTCAAGTTCAGTTTTTTTGTCTTATTCAGTTATTTCACAAAACATTTTTATTTTGCATCTTCAAAGTGGTAGGCATGTTGTGTGTTAAATGAAATTATACAAACCCCCCCAAAATCTATTTTAATCCAGGTTGTAAGGCAACAAAATAGGAAAAATGCCAAGAGGGGTGAATACTTTCGCAAGCCACTGTTTTTAAGTCCCCGTTAGGTAGCCTGATTTCAGATACAGTGGGGGAAAAAAGTATTTAGTCAGCCACCAATTGAGCAAGTTCTCCCACTTAAAAAGATGAGAGAGGCCTGTAATTTTCATCATAGGTACACGTCAACTATGACAGACAAAATGAGAAAAAGAAATCCAGAAAATCACATTGTAGGATTATTAATGAATTTATTTGCAAATTATGGTGGAAAATAAGTATTTGGTCAATAACAAAAGTTTCTCAATACTTTGTTATATACCCTTTGTTGGCAATGACACAGGTCAAACGTTTTCTGTAAGTCTTCACAAGGTTTTCACACACTGTTGCTGGTATTTTGGCCCATTCCTCCATGCAGATCTCCTCTAGAGCAGTGATGTTTTGGGGCTGTCGCTGGGCAACACGGACTTTCAACTCCCTCCAAAGATTTTCTATGGGGTTGAGATCTGGAGACTGGCTAGGCCACTCCAGGACTTTGAAATGCTTCTTACGAAGCCACTCCTTCGTTTCCCGGGCGGTGTGTTTGGGATCATTGTCATGCTGAAAGACCCAGCCACGTTTCATCTTCAATGCCCTTGCTGATGGAAGGAGGTTTTCATTCAAAATCTCACGATACATGGCCCCATTCATTCTTTCCTTTACACGGATCAGTCGTCCTGGTCCCTTTGCAGAAAAACAGCCCCAAAGCATGATGTTTCCACCCCCATGCTTCACAGTAGGTATGGTGTTATTTGGATGCAACTCATCATTCTTTGTCCTCCAAACACGACGAGTTGAGTTTTTACCAAAAAGTTATATTTTGGTTTCATCTGACCATATGACATTCTCCCAATCCTCTTCTGGATCATCCAAATGCACTCTAGCAAACTTCAGACGGGCCTGGACATGTACTGGCTTAAGCAGGGGGACACGTCTGGCACTGCAGGATTTCAGTCCCTGGCAGCGTAGTGTGTTACTGATGGTAGGCTATGTTACTTTGGTCCCAGCTCTCTGCAGGTCATTCACTAGGTCCCCCCGTGTGGTTCTGGGATTTGTGCTCACCGTTCTTGTGATCATTTTGACCCCACGGGGTGAGATCTTGCGTGGAGCCCCAGATCGAGGGAGATTATCAGTGGTCTTGTATGTCTTCCATTTCCTAATAATTGCTCCCACAGTTGATTTCTTCAAACCAAGCTGCTTACCTATTGCAGATTCAGTCTTCCCAGCCTGGTGCAGGTCTACAATTTTGTTTCTGGCGTCCTTTGACAGCTCTTTGGTCTTGGCCATAGTGGAGTTTGGAGTGTGACTGTTTGAGGCTGTGGACAGGTGTCTTTTATACTGATAACAAGTTCAAACAGGTGCCATTAATACAGGTAACGAGTGGAGGACAGAGGAGCCTCTTAAAGAAGAAGTTACAGGTCTGTGAGAGCCAGAAATCTTGCTTGTTTGTAGGTGACCAAATACTTACTTTCCACCATAATTTGCAAATTCATTAAAAATCCTACAATGCTAAATGGCATATTATTTATTATTATTATTTTTTTCTGGAAAACATTTTTTCAATTTGTCTGTCATAGTCATAGTTGACGTGTACCTATGATGAAAATTACAGGCCTCTCTCATATTTTTAAGTGGGAGAACTTGCACAATTGGTGGCTGACTAAATACTTTTTTCCCCCACTGTATGTCCACCTTAATAGGATTATCAGGGAAACGGTTATTCTAGCAAAGCATGCAAACGTTTTAAACCAACTATTATATTAATCTGACTATCCACAATAATCGTATTATTGTGTGCATGTAACTGTACTCATAGAGCCATGGTGTAGACTTGAATTCAGCAGCAACATCATGGCACCATATGATATGAGTTAGAATATACAGTTGGAGGGAGGGAGTCTGCTAAATATCTCTTCTTACTATAGCGAAGTAGATTTTTGCATTCCTTGTTTCTTTTCTGAAAAATGAGTATTACAATATGTTATGGAAAATAAAGATTGTATACAAAACCAACACCTGTATTTTCTGTGGCCTAATGCCATATTATTGAGGCTATATAGGTTAGGTTATGGGGTATCAATAAAGTTCAGGGTGACATTTGTATTTATGGATGTAGGCCTAATACTTTTCAATCAATATCATTAGCTACATATGAAGTATACAGTATGGCTGCATTTCAACTTCAGTTTGAATTCACTGTGATGCAAATAATATGACTAATAATGCCACCACGCTGCTATTTTCCTAACATTCTGAAGTTGAATGGGGCTTGCGTCTGTGTGTCACACACGCACACTAGATATATTTGAGGTGCAATGTCTCCTTGAGTTGTTGTGATTGTATTACCCCCCTGAGAGATATCATGCATCAAGGCTCTTCCCTCTTGTCCCTCCCGTCCCAGCTCTTTAATGTGAAAGAAACCCCACAGGCGGCCACAGAAGAGGAGGTGGGGGCCTTCACCAAGGTCATCGAGGCCATGGGCTTCACAGGACCTCTCAAATACAACAAATGGGTAAGTGCCTCTAGCGTCACTCAAATGTCCACCCACTACAGTTCTTCATACAGCATTACTGTTGGTCTCTCACAAGTAACCTCTATGATTCGTCAGCTCCCACTGTAATCTATATGTAGGATGTCATGTACAATAATGATTGGTGGATGTACACATTGAGGTTCAGTAGTGAAGGACAGTGCTTCTACAGACAAGATGCAGCCAAAAGAAAGTGCAGAAAGGGGAGTTGCTGCAACTCTCGCTCGTTGTTTAGGCCTAAAAGTTCAGCGTTCATTTCGTTCTGATTAAAAACAGTGATGTTTTCACAAAGGCCTGCCTGCTTCACATTGAATGCACACATTCCGATCTCTAAAGAGATTATACTGGTTACAGGGGGACATGAGGTTTATGCTCCCCCAGCAGGAATCTTCCCTGTGGACGAGCCAAGGACCTCCATGGGTTAGGGTTGACAATGCATGCCAAAACCACCCCTCATGGGTAGGGCCCAGACCTGGGTTCAGATAGCCTACTAGTTTAAATAATTTCAAATACTTAAGCTGTGCTTGATTGAGCTTCCCTGTTGCAATGGAACCAATAGAAAAGTCCCAAAAGTGCAAACTCCGCCCACCTGGGACTCCAGGCAGGCTAAAGCCAACACTCAAAGTATTTGAAAGATTTCAAATGAACCTAGGTTTGGTTCCTAATGTTAGTAAAACTCTGGGCTGGGCCCTAGACTGTTAAAACCCCCTGGAGTATAATATCCATGCCCCCGTGAAAATCTAATAACATAATAATAAAAAAATCCCCATAAAAATCTGTCACTTTAAGCTAGCAATATTTTGCATGGGATGCGTCCCAATCCGCCGATGTCGCACTTCCCCTTCTCACAAAATCGTCTGTAGCATCCGAATGGTTTGGCCTAACAACTATGACCCCTCTATGGAAAGATGACTCTTACGAAAACGATGGTGTTCTCCATTTTGCTCTACGACCCCTACAAGCGTCTTGGGACTCGTCTGAAGTCAGTACAGCCGATCTGCCTACTTCTGTCTGTAGTGTCCGAACAGTTTGGGCTACACACTAATATGATTGGTTTGAAAAGCCTTCCTCTGAAACGTGGTTTACGGTTTAAATTGGTTTGGTGTCAAAAGCCTTAGGGAATGCAAATGCATATCAACTCCAAACAATAGCCATGGCTGCACTGCTGTGCTGTGAGAGTGGGTAGCAGCAGAGTTCTTGAATGAACATCGACTCGTGCACACAGCAGCCGGGGCTTCGCTCAGAGATGGCCGTCCATGCCAGCGCCAAGCTTGCCCAGAATGCCTGGATGGAGAGGTATTCGCATTCTTATGCCACCACTCACCCCTGGCCAAAGCCCTAAGCTTTTATGTGTGAGCTATGGTTTAAATATTGTAGATGTTAAAAGGAAAGTGGAAAGTATTACTCTGTGGAATACTCTTTAAGCTAGCCCACAGGACACCTGCCTCTTCTATCAGCTACCGTTTCAAGTCTGACGCATCCAAATGTGACGTGTTAAACCTACATTGTTGAGTTTTATCAACTTACTGCTACTGTCTGTTTATTTTGCAGAAAATCAAGATAGCTGCCTTGCGCATGTACACATGCTGTGTAGAGAGAGTCAACTATGATGAATTCTTTGAAAGTAAGTATTTGCCTGTATAGATTCTTTCTACTGAGTTCATCACCAGAGAACTTCTAGGTAAGGTAGCCTATCTTCCAGCCAGATGCCAATCCATACACTACAGACAGGTGTTTGTTGAACATTACTCTATAAGCAATCGTCAGGCTAGTAATCTATGACTGATTTGTTGTGCTAGTCTTTGAGTACATTTCCATAGCATTGAGAACAATGGTCATGTGGACCTTACCAGTCCAATGGAGGGAAGTGCTGCTGTTGTGTCATGCAGCACATTTTACGACCCAAACTAGAGCCACTTCACTTCAACACAACTGCCCAAATATGCCTAAAGGGACCCTTTCATCGGCATTGGGCTCCCAAGTAGCGCAGCGGTCAAAGGCATTGCATCTCAGTGATTGAGGCGTCACTACAGACCCCCTGGTTCGATTCCAGGCTGTATCACAACTGGACGTGATTGGGAGTCCCATAGGGCAGCGCACAATTGGCCCAGCGTCGTCCGGGTTTGGCCGGTGTAGGCCGTCATTGTAAATAAGAATTTGTTCTTAACTGACTTGCCTAGTTAAATAAAGGTTAAAAATAAATAAAATCCTGAAAGATTGATGTTACACTTTACAGGCCGATTAGGCTGCTTCTTAAGTGTGTGGGGGGTAGAGAGCAGGTGTAAACTCAATAGTGGTTTTGGATAGAATATGGGCCTGGGAGACTTGGTTTACGCGCCCCTCTGCTCTCTCCGTCCACAGAATGCTCCCTCCCCGACACACTCAACTCCTGGTTCCTGGTGGCACAGCTCCATGTCTGGTGAGTACCTCTGTGTTACACCCCCTCTACAGGCCCCCCAGGTTACCTTACCTTTTGCCCCCCACTCTACAGTTTGCACCCCTTTTGGGTACTTTAAGTTCCGATGGCGATGCTGAGACTGTGCCTTTTATTTTGTACTTCGACCTCAATGCTGTGTTCCTTCAGTCACCTATCTACTATTCCTTTGACGTCAAATCTAGACTTTAAACCGGTGTTAAGATTTTTTTTTTGTCCGATAGGAATAAGTACCAATTACTTCTACACGGAGTATACCAAACATTAGGAACATTCTGTTAATATTGAGTTGCACCTCCCCCCCTTGTTTCAGTCTTCAAGAGATTTGAGACTGGGACGGAGGTTCACCTTCCATCAGGACAATGACCCTAAGCATACTGCTAAAGCAACACTTGAGTGGTTTAAGGGGAAACATTTAAATGTTTTGGAATGGCCTAGTCAATGCCCAGACCTCAATCCAATTGAGAATCTGTGGTATGACTTAAAGGTTGCTGTACACCAGCGGAACCCATCCAACTTGAAGGAGCTGGAGCAGTTTTGCCTTGAAGAATGGGCAAAAATCCCAGTGGCTAGATGTGCCAAACTTATAGAGACATACCCCAAGAGACTTGCAGCTGTAATTGCTGCAAAAGTTGGCTCTACAAAGTATTGACTTTGGGGGGGTGAATAGTTATGCACGCTCAAGTTTTCATTTTTTTTTGTTTGTTTCGCAATAAAAAATATTTTGCATCTTCAAAGTGGTAGGCATGTTGTGTAAATCAAATGATACAACCCCCCAAAAAATCTATTTTAATTCCAGGTTGTAAGGCAACAAAATAGGAAAAATGTCAAAGGGGGGTGAATACTTTTGCAAGCCATATTAAATTAGTAAAGCAGTATGTAAACATTATTAAAGTGACTACTGTCCCATTTATTAAAGTGACCAGTGATTCCATGTCTATGTATATAGGGCAGCAGCCTCTAAGGTGCAGGGTTGAGTAACCGGGTGGTAGCCGGATAGTGATGGCTATTTAACAGTCTGATTGCCTTGTTCCAGTGTCTCGGTCCCAGCTTTGATGCACCTGTACTGACCTCACCTTCTGTATGATAGCGGGGTGAACAGGCCGTGGCTCAGGTGGTTGATATCGTTGATGATCTTTTTGGCCTTCCTGTGACATCGGGTGCTGTAGGTGTCCTGGAGGGCAGGCAGTGTGCCCCCGGTGAGGCGTTGGGCAGAATGCACCACCCTCTGGAGAGCCCTGCTGTTGCGGGCGGTGCAGTTGCCGTACCAGGCGGTGATGGAGCCCAACAGGATGTTCTCAATTGTGCATCTGTAAAAGTTTGTGAGGGTCTTAGAGGCGCTGTTGCGCCTTCTTCACCACACTGTCTGTGTGGGTGGACCAATTCAGATTGTCAGTGATGTGTATGCCAAGGAAGTTTAAGCTTTTCACCTTCTCCACTGCGGTCCCGTCGATGTGGATAGGGGCGTGCTCCCTTTGCTGTTTCCTGAAGTCCACGATCAGCTCCTTTGGTTTGTTGATTGAGAGGTTATTTTCCTGGCACCCGCCAGGGCCCTCACCTCCTCCCTGTAGGCTGTCTCGTCATTGTTGGTAATTGTGTCGTCTGCAAACTTGATGATTGAGTTGGAGGCGTGCTTGGCCACGCAGTCATGGGTGAACAGGGAGTACAGGAGAGGGCTGAGCATGCACCCTTGTGGGGCGCCTGTGTTGAGGATCGGTGAAGTGGAGGTGTTGTTTTCTACCTTCACCACCTGGGGGCGCCCCGTCAGGAAGTTCAGACCCAGAGCCCCGAGCTTAATGACGAGCTTGGAGGGTACTATGATGTTGAAGGCTGAGCTATAGTCAATGAACAGCATTCTTACATAGGTATTCCTCTTGTCCAGATAGGATAGTGCAGTGTGCAATGCGATGGCGATTGCATCGTCTGTGGATCTATTGGGGCGGTATGCAAATTGAAGTGGGTCTAGGGTGTCAGGTAAGGTAGAGGGTGATATGATCCTTGACTAGCCTCTCAAAGCACTTCATGGTGACAGAAGTGAGTGGTACGGGGCGATAGTCATTTAGTTCAGTTACCTTTGCTTTCTTGGGTACAGCAACAATGGTGGACATCTTGAAGCAAGTGGGGAAAGCAGACTGGGATAGGGAGAGATTGAATATGTCCTTAAACACTCCAGACAGCTGGTCTGCACATGCTCTGAGGACACGGCTAGGGATGCCGTCTGGGCCGGCAGCCTTGCGTGGGTTAACGTGCTTAAATTTCTTTCTCACGTCGGCCACGGAGAACGAGAGCCCACAGTCCTTGGGAGCGGGCCTCGTCGGTGGCACTGTGTTATCCTCAAAGCCGGCGAAGAAGGTGTTCAGCTTGTCCGGGAGCAAGACATCGGTGTCCGCGACGTGGCTGGTTTTCCCTTTGTAATCCATGATTGTCTGTAGATCTTGCCACATAAGTCTCTTGTCTGAGCTGTTGAATTGCGACTCCACTTTGTCTCTGTACTGACGTTTTGCCTGTTTGATTGCCTTGTGGAGGGAATAACTACACTGTTTGTATTCAACCATATTCCCAGTCACCTTGCCATGGTTAAATGCGGTGGTTCGCGCTTTCAGTTTTGTGTGAATGCTGCCATGTATCCACGGTTTCTGGTTTGGGTAGGTTTTAAAAGTCACCATGGGAACAACATCCCCTATACACACTTACTGATGAACTTCGTCACATTGTCCGTGTGTATGTCAATGTTATTCTCAGAGGCTACCCAGAACATATCCCAGTCCGCGTGATCAAAACAATCTTGAAGCATGGATTCCGATTGGTCAGACCAGCGTTGAATAGTCCTTAGCACAGGTACTTCCTGTTTGAGTTTCTACCTATAGGAAGGGAGGAGAAAATTGGAGTCGTGATCTGATTTGCCGAAGGGAGGGCGGGGGAGGGCCTTCTAGGCATCCCGGAAGGGGGAGTAACAGTGGTCAAGAGTTTTAGCAGCGCGACTACTACTGTCAATGTGTTCAAAGAACTTCGGTAGCGTTTTCCTCAAATTTGCTTTGTTAAAATCCCCAGGTACAATAAATGCGGCCTCAGGATATATGATTTCCACTGAGCACAAAGTCCAGTGTAGTTCCTTGAGGGCCGTCGTGGTATTGGCTTGAGGGGAAATATACATGGCTGTGACTATAACCGAAGAGAATTATCTTGGGAGTAATATGGTCGGCATTTGATAGAGGTATTCTAGGTCGGGTGAACAAAAGGACTTGAGTTTCTGTACGTTATCACAATCACACCATGAATAGTTAATCATGAAACATACACCACCACTGTCACCTTTATTCCTGTCTGTGCGATGTACTGAGAACCCAGCTGACTGTATGGAAGGGGACAGTATATCCGGAGAGAGCCATGATTCCGTGAAACAGAGTATGTTACACTCCCTGATGTCTCTCTGGAAGGAGATCCTCGCCCTGAGCTCGTCTACTTTATTGTCCAGAGACTGGACATTAGCAAGTAATGTACTCGGAAGCGGTGGATGGTGTGCACACCTCCTGAGTCGGACTAGAAGTCCACTCCAAATACCTTTTCTCCGCCTGTGGCATCTTGGAGCAGCCTCTGTGATAAGTTCAATTGCCCTGAGGGGTACAAACAAAGGATACAATTTTGGGAAAGTCGTATTTCTGGTCGTAATGCTGGGTGAGTTACCGCCGCTCTGATATCCAAAAGTTATTTCCGGCTGTATGTAATAACACACAAAAAAAAAAAACATCCCCTAAAAAAACAAAATACTGCAAAGTTGCTTAGAAGCTAGAAGCAGAGTTTCCATGTCTGTCGGCGCCATCTTGCCAACGCTACTCTTCTGGCACTGAATGACCGAACTCCACGGAACTTGATATGTGGCATCTATGGACAAAGGTCTCTCAACACAAAATTTTCCAGATTTGTACCTAAAACAACTTTGACCAATAAACATTCACGTGTGCGTGGTCTGGCACATAAATTCATATAAATCAGTTAATGATATTCGTATTGTAACAATTTGGTACACGTTGCAAATACTGTCAAGACTCAACATATGCAAGAACATTCATATCGACCTCACGGTGGCGCTATAACGGGTACATGTTTATATCACTTGATCTGTTTGGCACACATGCTCAGAGATGAGTCTAGCTGACCCACGCAATATCTCAGACACCACTGGCCCGATTTTGACAACTTGGGTGAATGATGCGTCTTGCCATAGAGATCCGTCATTTACTAAATTACACTGATAGCCCAAGGGGGCGCTGCATCATTTGTGGGGACGACATGTTTACTGTTGCCTTGTTTAGAGGTCAATCTTGTCCTCTTGATTTTCCAATAAAAAAATTAAACTGGGTGTCATCAACTTTTTTTTCTTCTTTTTCGGATAACCTCGAACCCCGTTTTGCGTCTGTATGCTCTAACCCCAGGTAGATCAGGTTACATGCCTTTTAGTTAATCAAAAGGGAACCATCGCACTCTCCCAGAAGCTTGGCTGGTGCGTAAAACCTGCGAATTCAGACAAACAAAAAGGTATAATGGGTCCGCACTCAAAAAGATGTCGCATTAAGCTTACTTAATTGTTCAATTTAATTTTTTATTTTCACTGCATCAGGGATAGCGTACATAGACGTTTCGGATTTACAGCCGCCTTCAGTATGTAAGCAGAATTTTGTTTTAATTCAAAACAGCATTTTTAGGGAACCACCAATGAGCAGCAGGTGCTTCTAATCAGGGTTGCCACTCATCTGCCAATGAGGGATGTGGCTTTTCTGGTCTACCTGTATACAAGTTAGTCACAAAGAAATACAGTAGTATAGGGTATGGGAGCTGGAATGAAGTGCAATTCATGAATCAATTGCCTTAGGTGTCTTCTCACTTCGATACATTATATCAATTCATGAGATAGCTTATCACAAAGGACCTCAGGCTCAGCCGTTCATAAATATGTGGGGCTAACTTATCAACGATATGTAAAACCTATGGACAGTGTTCTTGTATACCAGTCTAAATTTGACCTATAGGAAAGAGGTGAAATCTAATTCTTCATTTAAACTGTGTGGAGATACATAATTTAATGTATATATCCACATGGCTTTAGTTACCACATGCCTTGGTATTTGATCCAGACCAGGGAAAGAAAGGTATGCATGAGCTCATCAGAGTTGGGTGATGAATTGCGCTGCAACGGCCCTCTTCATCAAACATGCCCACCACTCCTCTGACTTCCTGTCAAAGCCACTTTCCTGCCACTAATTCTGTTGACTTTGGGATGCGGGATGACATAAGCTCCAAGAGCCAGGCCTGGACTCAATCAAAGCTAAACATTCAGGAAGCTAAACATTCTACATGGTGTCATGTCGGGGGGAAAATGCACATGGATGCGGATTCCTACTCACACAGGTTTAGGTTATTTGGATTTGGACCCAAGAACCTGTGAGTGAAAATGTAGAACAGGGTTCCCCAACTGGCGGGTGATTTTATTTGGCCCCCCAAGTTTCAAGCAAACAAGAAATATATATATATATATATATATATATATATATATATATATATACAGTACCAGTCAAAAGTTTGTACACACCTACTCATTCAAGGGTTTTTCTTTATTTTTACTATTTTCTACATTGTAGAATAATAGTGAAGACATCAAAACTATGAAATAACACATATGGAATCATGCAGTAACCAAAAACGTGTTAAACAAATCAAAATATATTTGATATTTTAGATTCTTTGAAGAAGCCACCCTTTGATGACAGCTTTGCACACTCTTGACTTTCTCTCAACCAGCTTTATGAGGATTGCTTTTCCATCAGTCTTGAAAGAGTTCCCACATATACTGAGCACTTGTTGGCTGCTTTTCCTTCACTCTGCGGTCCAACTCATCCCAAACCATCTCAATTGGGTCGAGGTCGGGGGATTGTGGAGTCCAGGTCATCTGATGCAGCACTCCATTACTCTCCTTCTTGGTAAAATAGCCCTTACACAGCCTGGAGGTGTGTTTTGGGTCATTGTCCTGTTGAAAAACAAATGATAGTCCCACTAAGCCCAAACCAGATGGGATGGCGTATCGCTGCAGAATGCTGTGGTAGCCATGCTGGTTAAGTGTGCCTTGAATTCTAAATAAATCACTGACAGTAAAACCATCAAAGCACCCCCACACCATAACACCACCACCTCCATGCTTTACGGTGGGAAATACACATGTGGAGATCATCCATTCATCCACACCGCATCTCACAAAGATACAGCATTTGGAACAAAAACTCTCCAATTTGGACTCCAGACCAAAGGACAAATTTCCATCGGTTTAATGTCCATTGCTCGTTTTTCCTGGCCCAAGCAAGTCTCTTCTTATTATTGGTGTCCTTTAGTAGTGGTTTCTACCATGAAGGCCTGATTCACACAGTCTCCTCTGAACAGTTGATGTTGAGATGTGTCTGTTACTTGAACTCTGTGAAGCATTTATTTGGGCTTCAATTTCTGAGGCTGGTAACTCTAATGAACTTATCCTCTGCAGCAGCGGTAACTCTGGGTCTTCCATTCCTGTGGCAGTCCTCATGAGAGCCAGTTTCATCGTAGCGCTTGTTGGTTTTTACGACTGCACTTGAAGAAACTTTAAAAGTACTTGACATTTTCCGGATTGACTGACCTTAATGTTTTAAAGGAATGATGGACTGTCGTTTCTCTTTGCTTATTTGAGCTGTTCTTGCCATAATATGGACTTTTTTTTTTACCAAATAGGGCTGTCTTCTGTATACCTTGTCACAACAGAACTGATTGGTTCAAACGCGTTAAGAAGAAAATATATTCCACAAATTAACTTTCAAGAAGGCTGTTAATTGAAATGCATTCCAGGTGACTACCTCATGAAGCTGGTTGAGAGAATGCCAAGAGTGGTGTGCAAAGCTGTCATCAAGGCAAAGGGTGGTTATTTGAAGAATCTCAAATGTTATGTTCATACAAATATTTACACACGTTAAGTTAACAGAAAATAAACGCAGTTGACAGTGAGAGGACATTTCTTTTTTTGCTGAGTTTATATATATATATATATATATATATATATATATATACATACTACCGTTTTTAAAAGAAAAGCTATTTTTTTGTCCATTAAGATTGATCAGAAATACAGTGTAGACATTGTTAATGTTGTAAATGGCTATTGTAGCTGGAAACGGCTAATTTAAAACAAAATAGAATATCTACATAGGCGTACAGAGGCCCATTATCAGCAACCATCAGTCCTGTGTTCCAATGGCACGTTATGTTTGCTAATCCAAGTTTATCATTTTAAAAGGCTAATTGATCATTAGAAAACCCTTTTGCAATTATGTTAGCACAGCTGAAAACTGTTGTGCTGATTTAAAGAATCAATACAATTGGCCTTCTTGAGACTAGTTGAGTATCTGGAGCATCAGCAATTGTGGGTTCGATTTACAGGATCAAAATGGCCAGAAACAAATAACTTTCTTCTGAAACTCATCAGTCTATTCTTGTTCAGAGAAATGAAGGCTATTCCATGCGAGAAATTGCCAAGAAACTGAAGATCTCGTACAACGCTGTGTACTACTCCCTTCATAGAACAGCGCAAACTGGCTCTAACCAGAATAGAAAGTGGAGTGGGAGGCCCCAGTGCACAACTGAGCAAGAGGACAAATACATTAGTGTGTCTAGTTTGAGAAACAGACGCCTCACAGGTCCTCAACTGGCAGCTTCATTAAATAGTACCCGCAAAACACCGGTCTCAACGTCAACAGTGTAGAGGCGACTCCGGGATGCTGACCTTCTAGGCAGAGTTGCAAAGAAAAAGCCATTTCTCAGACTGGCCAATAAAAAGAGAAGACTAGGATGGGCAAAAGAACACAGACACTGGACTTTTTCTTTGCAACTCTGCCTAGGTCAGCATCCCGGAGTCACCTCTTCACTGTTGACGTTGAGACTGGTGTTTTGCGGGTACTATTTAATGAAGCTGCCAGAACTACATGGTTCTAGTCAGATCAAAGCCCATTTTAAGAAAAGGGTTGAAAAAACATGAGATCTCGCCATAGCAGAATCAACATGAACAACTTAACAGCAGCACTGTGTAGATAAGAAACCAAAGATGCCAAATTGTAACTTGATACAAACGTGTGACTAGAACTTAAATAAATCATGCATGACATAAGTAGAGGATTTCAACTTCCTAGGTATGAATGTGTATCTCAAGTTGGGATTTGGCCCTTCAGGGCAAGAGGCTGTCCGTCCCTGTCAGGTATAGTGTTAACTCTCTTTGTGTTCTCCTCTGTAGGATGTGTCTGGTGCGGATGAGGCAACAAGGCCGTGAGGGGAAGTACATGTGCCGCTACATCGTCCACTCAATGTGGGAGGACGTGGAGCAGAGGAGCAAGATCATGGGAGTATGTCCCTCAAACTCCAACCTCATGTCTTTAGCAGTCTAAAATCTGGGGCCGTATTTATCAAGTGTCTGAAAGTAGCAGTGCTGCTCTAGGATCAGGGCCCCTCTGCCCATGTAATCTTATTTATTATGACCTAAAAGGCTAAACTGATCCTATAATCGGACAGCTAATAATGGCTCCACTTAGCCTTCTGATTAGCTAGATGGAGTTTCCACAATTTTCCTTGCTTAATTCTCATGCAGTAATTTCAGTTCAAGGCTACGTGACGTTTTTACTGGCTGAAAACAAATGGGGATTAATTGCATATTGGATATCTCCATTGAATCTGTGTGCCGAAAAGGTACCAATGAGAGGAACAGAGAGTAGGGTTGGGCGGTATCCAGATTTTCATATCGTCCTTCTCTCATCCCGGGATTTACGGTATTACCGGCTTAGTACACAAGGTGGAGACAAAAAACAACAAAAAAGGCCATTGGTTGTCTATTACCAGAATGCTAACAAAATTAGCACAAGTAATAGTGAATTTCCATGGAGGCTGCTAGCTAAATATACTAACGAGCGCAAATGAAAATAAACAAATTGCAAAGACAGGCAATCCAGCTCATGAAGTTATACATACAGTACAAGACCAAAAGTATGTGGACACTTACGTGTCGAACATCTCATTCCAAAATCATGGGCATTAATATGGAGTTGGTCCCCCCTTTGCTGCTAAAACAGCCTCCACTCTTCTGGGAAGGCTTTCCACTAGATGTTGGAATATTGCTGCGGGGACTTCCTTCCATTCAGCTAAAAGGAGCGTTAGTCAGATTGGGCACTGATGATTAGGCCTGGCTTGCAGTCTGCATTCCAATTCATCCCTAAGGTGTTCGATGGGGTTGAGGTCAGGGCTCTGTGCAGTCCAGTCAAGTTTTTCGAGACTGATCTCAACAAGCCATTTCTGTAAGGACCTTGCTTTGTACACGGGGGCATTGTCATGCTGAAACAGGAAAGGGCCTTCCCCAAACTGTTGCCACAAAGTTGGAAGCACAGAATCGTTATTCTGGCATCCGCCAAACCCAGATTCGTCCGTCGGACTGCCAGATGGTGAAGCGTGATTCATCACTCCAGAGGACACGTTTCAACTGCTCCAGAGTCCAATGGCGGCGAGCTTTACACCACTCCAGCCGACGCTTGGCATTGCGCATGGTGATCTTAGGCTTGTGTGTGGCTGCTCGTCCATGGAAACCCATTTCATGAAGCTCCTGACAAACAGTTATTGTGCTGTCTTTGCTTCCAGAGGTAGTGAGTGTTGCAACCGAGGACAGGTGATTTTTACACACTTCAGCACTTGGCAGTCCCGTTCTGTGAGCTTGTATGGCCTACCACTTCACGACTGAGCCGTTGTTGCTCCTAGACGTTTCCACTTCACAATAACAGCACTTAAAGTTAACCGGCTAGCAGGGCAGAAATTTGACGAACTGACTTGTTGGAAAGCATCCTATGACAGTGCCATGTTGAAAGTCACTTAGCTCTTCAGTAAGGCCATTCTACTGCCAATGTTTGTCTATGGAGATTGCATGGCGGTGTGCTCGATTTTATACACCTGTCAGAAACGGGTGTTGCTGAAATGGCTGAATCCATTACTTTTAAGGGGTGTCCACATACCTTTGTATATACAGTACATTTCGAAAGTATTCAGAACTTTTTTCATTTTGCTACAGCCTTATTCTAAAATTGATTTCTTTTTTTATTTATTTCCCTCATCAATCTTCGCACAATACCCCATAATGACAAAGCAAAAACAGGTTTTTAGAAATATTTGCAAATGTATAAAGAAAATTACTTTAAAATTACATTTACATAAGTATTCAGACCCTTTATTCAGTACTTATTTGAAGCACATTTGGCATTGATTACAGCCTCGAGTCTTCTTGGATATGACGCTACAAGCTTGGCACACCTGTATTTGGTGAATTTCTCCCATTCTTCTCGACAGATCCACTCAAGCTCTGTCAGGTTGGATGGGGAGCGTCGCTGCACAGCTATTTTCAGGTCTCTGCAGAGATGTTTGATCGGGTTCAAGTCCGCACTCTGACTGGGCCACTCAAGGACATTCAGAGACTTGTCCCGAAGCCACACCTGCGTTGTCTTGGCTGTGCACTTAGGGTTGTTGTCGTGTTGGAAGGTGAACCTTCGCCCCAGTGTGAGGTCCTGAGCGGTCTGGTGCAGGTTTTCATCAAGGATCTCTCTGTAGTTTGATCCGTTCATCTTTCCCTCGATACTGACTAGTCTCCCAGTCCCTGCCGCTGAAAAACATCCCCACAGCATGATACTTCCACCACCATGCTTCACCGTATGGTGCCAGAGACGTGACGCTTGGCATTCAGAGTTCAATCTTGTTTCTCATGGTCTGAGAGTCCTTTAGGTGCCTTTTGGCAAACTCCAAGCAGGCTGTTATGTGCCTTTTACTGAGGAGTGGCTTCCGTCTGGTCACTCTACCATAAAGGCCTGATTGGCGGAGTGTTGCAGAGATGGTTGTCCTTCTGGAAGGTTCTCCCATCTCCCCCGTTTGCTCAGTTTGGCTGGATGGCCAGCTCTAAGAAGAGTCTTGGTGGTTCAAACCACTGTGTTCTTGGGGATCGAACGCTGTGTTCTTGGGGATCTTCAATGCTGCAGAAATGTTTTGCTACCCTTCCCCAGATCTGTGCCTCGACAATCCTGCCTCGGAGCTCTACGGACAACTCCTTTGACCTCATGGCCTGGTTTTTGCTCTGACATGCATTGTCAACTGTGGGACCTGATATGGACAGGTGTGTGCCTTTCCAAATCATGTCCAATCAATAGAATTTACCACAGGTGGACTCCAATCAAGTTGTAGAAACATCTCAAGGATGATCAATGAAAACAGGATGCACCTGAGCTCAATTTTGAGTCTCATATCAAAGGGTCTGAATACTTAATTTAAAAAGGTATTCTGTTTTTGCTGTGTCATTATGGGTTATTGTGTGTAGATTGAGGATTTTTATTTATTTAATCCATTTTAGAATAAGGCTGTAACGTAACAAAATGTGGAAAAAGTCAAGCGGTCTGAATACTTTTTGTGAATGCAGTAGGAGCTACCGAATGCCATTTTTGCTGAGTTTACAAGCAAATGTGAACGAGATACTTTTTGCAAATGAACATAATTTTGATGAATTAAGGAAGAACATTACTGGCTCTGGAGCAGCAGAGAAGAGGGGTGGGGGGGAGGGAGCAGACTGGCCGAGAACAGAGAGGAGAAAAAAATCACCCAAATCAAGATGGCAGTTGGAACAGATTTCTCAAACACGGCAGAAAGCTAACGCTATATGATACCCCTTGTTAATTCAGCCACTTAATAACTAGCAAGTTAAACTTAGGGGACGCGTTAACGCAGAATTCTGCGTTTTTCACGCAGATGTTTCTTTTTTTTAAAATGCGTTTTGTAAACAGATCTAAAATGCTTCCATCTGACTAATTTTGTACTTCAGTTGCACTTCCCCATTCGGATGAGAATTCCCGAACAGGCATTCTATCAGCACACAACGCTCTGTCTGTGTACGTACTTTTCTCCTGTACTTTTAGTGTAGCCTAATTTTCTCAGATAAAATGCAAGCTTAGAAATATGATGGCCATGCATAGTTTTTGTGTAAAATACCTTGCATTTTCGTTGTAAGCATTTACTTGTGTGGTTGCCAGCCAAATAGTGTTGCACTTCTGTTGTCATCTGATGAATGTGTTGCATTATGTATTTTCTGTGAAGGAAAACTGTAGTTGCACTCCCCTGATCACTCTATTGAAGCAAAAAAACACTGACTTTCAGTATAAAACACAACCCCTGTCAATACACAGCTGGACTTACCTGCTCCCACTTTCTCCCATTGTGCTATTTACAAACAAACGTGACTGGTTCAACTATTCTGGGGAACTACGGTAAGCTTCAAAATGTAAAATATTGTGACAGGTGAAATGAAGAACGCGATCTGCTTTATCTCCTAACCTATTGCACAAGTTGACTGCAGGTATTTACTTAAGTAGCTACAAATATGTATATATTTTTTAAACGTCAAATAAATAGTTTCAACGGTATTGACGGTATTGAAAAACCATCCCATGGCTATTTCCAAATACCCAGGTATACGGTATACAAGCCTTCTTGGGTGGAAACTTCTTCTGCTTATTACTTTTAATATGGGCATCATGCATCTTGTACAATACACTGAAATCTGTTGCAATCACAAAGCATCCCATATTATCTATAGGCACATACAGTGGGGTCCGAAATGATTGACACCCTTGATAAAGATTAGCAAAAAAGACTGTATAAAATAAATAATTCAAATACTGAGCTTTATTGTATGCTCAAAGAAATTGGGAAATTATTTTATACTAATACAATTGCTCATAGAAATAGATTTTGTTTAAAGGCCCAGTGCTGTCAAAAACTAGGATTTCCTGTGTTTTTTATATATATTTCCACTCTGAGTTGAGTTTCTGCCTGCCTGAGGTGGTAAATTACTTAATAGACCAATAAGAAAGAGTTCCAAACCGCTCTGCCAATAACAGCTAGTTAGTATTTATTTTTTTCTCAAACAGGTAGTGGTCAAAATGATTGACACCCCTGTTTTCAATACCTCACCTTGCGAGGATAACGGCAAGGTGAGGTATAGTTAGAAAACACATTGGGAGGGATCTTCGACCATTTCTCCATACAGAATCCTTCCAGATCCTTTATCCTTTGTCTGCGCTTATGGACTGCCCCCTTCAATTCAAACCACAGGTTTTCAATGGGTTTCAAGTCCGGCGTCTGAGATGGTCAACGGCATCATGAACTTTACGCAGTACAATGACATTTTAGCCAAAAACCTGGTTGCCTCTACCAGGAGGCTGAAACTTGTCCGCAAGTGTATCTTCTAGCAAGACAATAACACCAAGCACACATCAAAATCCACAAAGAAATAGTTAATTGGCCACAAAATCAACATTTTTGCAATTGTAGT